TATCATTTTGTTAGATATTTTATCATCGACCGAAGCCTTGTTTAGCGGCAAGGATCGAATGATACCGAGAAATTCGTCTGAAGATGGTAAATCAGACATTGGAGACAGTGGTGGTTCGATGGCCCACTGCCTGATCTGTCGGTGATGATCATTGTCGTTTTCCGGCCGATCGTAAGGTACAAGTGATTCTAAAAGATATTCTGCTGTTTGTTCTACTCCTGTGGTATATCTGTTATTAATTTTGATGTTCTGTATGTATGCAAGGTCGATTGATCTATTTGCCTTAAATTCGTGATATAAAGGTGACCACGGGGGCTCTCTATCGAGTTTATCAACAAGTTTATGAATTAAGTTTCCCTTGGATTTTTCCACAGCAGCTCTGTAGTGGGACCTGGCAACTCTAAGAGCAATGAGAGCATTATTGTACAAATCTCCTGTTACGTTATGTTTTTTAATAGTGTTTAACTTTCTACGAGCTTTCCGGTAGCTTCTACGTAGGTCGGCTAATCTATCATTCCACCAATCACATCTACGAGTGTTAGTGATAGATCCGCGACCAATAGATACATCAGCGCAGTATGTGAAAGTTTCTGATAGTTATTCTGCGCTTTCCTCAGCTGATAAACTACTGCGACTGAAGTCTTTGGCATGAGTTGCAAAGAGTGAACCAAACAAAGCCCAGTTCGCACCTTTAGTTTTATATCTAAAATTATAGGGAGCCCTTTGTGGATCCTGTGCAACCCTTGGTATGAATTCGTACACGATCAAGCGGTGATCACTACAGGATGCGTCCGGAAGGACACGCCATCAAGACTCACCCATTGGGTTGCAAAAAGTTGGTGGTGCATCGGGGGTATTGTGAATAGTAAGATTCATTTCCGCAATGAAATCTTCAACCGCACAACGTCGAACCGTGTCGGTTGAACGCAACTTGCCATACCATAATGAAGATGACGCATTAACATCAGCGCCAATGATAATTTTATGTCCCACGAGGAACTGCAAGACGTAACGTAAGTGATGTAAGTGAGGATCGATAGGATGTGAATATTGAAAATAGCAGCTCACTACGTAAACCTTACAGGCAGAGGATGAGATCTCAGCAACGGCGCAGTGTGACGTCATAAGATTACGCAAAGATGTTACCGTAAAATTAGAACTTGCAACATATATCCCAGCCTGCGAACGGCAGTCAAGCTGTACTACATTACGACGCAAGCGAGCGCTCTGATATTGTTCTTGTATAAGGACAATGTCTAACTTTTGTTCTAAAATTAAACGGTCTAATTCTGATGTAGCTATTTTATCATAACGATAAAATAGCTACATCAGAATTAGACCGTTTAATTTTAGAACAAGAAGAAGAAGATTTAACTGGCCTATTGAAATATTATCCATCACTTAGTAAGTTACTCTATAAACTTTTTTTTTTTTTAAATTAAACTACTCAGTAATTGGTATTTAATGTTAGCTGTTCCAGTTTTAATTGGTATGTGGCACAGTCGTGTGAGCCGCATCGATGGTCAGATGGTTTTTTGAACCGCTTGCACTGTGCGCACGTGGGCTTAAAATCTGGTGTGTCTTTATCTGGACAAGCTCGTGTTTCATGTGCGGCGGCGCAGTTAGCACAAGTAGGGGTTTTAATGGTGCAAAACTTTTGTACATGACCGAATTGCAATTGCAATTTAAGCAACGAACTACTTCTATATCGTCTATGAATCTACATGTGGCCCAGTCTATATAAAGTTTATCTTTTGTGTTGGCTAGATGTTTCCTAACTGCTGCCTCTAATTCTATATTGACGCCCATTTTCTAGTTTACGATGCCTAACAATTTTGGTTGACTTAATAAAATCGTTCTCACTTAATTTTAATTCGTCCTTGATATTCTGACGGTATAAGGCTGTTAGGAAGGTACGATCTTCCATAGAACCGGGTACGTCTTTAACAATTATGCGGGGCTTTCGGCCTTTCGGTTTTTCTAACCGTAACCCTACGGATTTAATGGCGTCTACAGATTCCAGTTTCTTAAGCTGCCGTTCGTTAGCTACACGTAACACGACGCCTGCCTTAGAGGTTTTTTTTACGCCTACAATTTGAAATCCCTCATCGCTCGGTTTAATAGCCTTCATGAGAGCTTGTTTCGTTGCTGACGAGGTCACATAGTCCGCTAAGCGTTCCGTAGTGGGATAGGCAATAACACAAGGTCTAGGAACGCGCGCTTCAGTAGATACCGGGCACGGAGCAGATTTAGGTGGTAAGCGAAGCTTAAGTTTGTCCGCGTACGTTAAACTCGTTTGTTGATACCCTCCATTTGTCGCTCAAAATTCGCTAACTTCGTTTCGTTGCTAAAGGATTTTATTGCTAACAGGGATACGATACCGGTAATTTGTTGAGTAATATCCATAATCGCCGTTTTATTACCTACATTCATCCGAGATCCCTGACTAATTCATTAATTTTTGCCAAATAATCAGTGGCCTGTGACACTAAGTCACAGTAGTTGTACTCCCCACAGTTATCACGACCGGTAAGAGACGAAACATTACCACTTAAGTCCGAATTAATAATGCGCCTACGGCTACTGTCTTTCGACGAGAAATCCGTAGGTGACATTTCGATAAATGTCCTTTTCCCGGTTGGTTTTAGAAATTCACTTGTACCGCCGGGGTCCGGCAACTCGCTAACGACCGACTTAGCCAAACAACAATTTCAAAAGGAACAAGTTTAAAAATAAATAACACGCAGAGAAAAATCAATATAAACAAAGGATACCTCCTACCCACTTTTAGAAAGAAAATAAATTTACTCACCAATAGTCGTAATAAAATAATTCAGCACTATATTACTGTTTAAAAACAATAAAAACTTACTGACTTTCTTTAAAACAACCTTTAGCCGCCCGCAAGCCGGAAACTAGTCGCAGAAAAACAGAAAACAATATTTAAATTGTTAGCACATGAAGTCACACGTTAGTCGCACGGTGCCGCGAAGGGAAGCTTTTCAACTTCTCAATTATTTTGTTTAAACACTTCCGTAACACACTTCCGCACCACCCTAAGGTAGACTGTCTGCCTGCCCTAGTAATCTGACCTCCTGGCTCTCGTCACCTACTTTTGTCTGAAAGCACTTCAGGTATATTTAAAGTGATTTGCAATGAATTAAAAAGGCTTTTATTAAATTAATTCAAGACTCGTATTTAACGTTCATATGATATTCACCTCAAACGCTTACTCTTTCACCCATTTTTATTTCATCCTCATGAATGATTTGAATATTCGTTTTAACAACGATACTTATAGCGTTACAGAAACTTTCGGTATTCAACGCTCCCTCGGCTTAAATAGCACAATACAATAGCACATTTGAAATTTTTCGGGCTACTCGTATGTGTCTGAATTGCAATTTTATCAAAGTGTTTTTCATTTTCTCTAAAAACCACTGTGGCGCGGCGATAGCGTGTATATCAATTACAGCGGAGGTCACAGGTTTGATTACGATTAGTTCTAAGATTTGTACTCATGAATATGCCTATTTGCCTAGATATTATTGTTTTCTTTGCAAACAAAATTATAAAACTATGTTTAGCCTTGTTCTAGAATCCATAAGCCTTATCTATGGTGTGCCTAGTTTGAGTCTAGATCGCTAGACGTGTAATATAGCCCAGAATATCATAAGGTTTTTAAGTGCGTGAAAGTCTTTACACTGAAACTTTGTGATAGAGCGGGATCGCGCTACATCGCTACAACGAACTACTAGAACACATCGGGTTCTGATTCGTTGAACAGAGCACCGTCTTTAACGTGCGGTACACCACATCAACGTTTTTATTATTTTATTTATTTATTCTTATTTTAAAAGAGACAACTCCCGCATTAGGAATATATCCTGTGTCGCGGGGGACTTTACAAACATACATGAAACGGACACAAAGAACACCCAGACTCAGAACAACAATTTGTGGATCACACAAAGAGTCGTCCCATGTGGGGTTTGAACCCACAACACTCGACGTAGTAGGAAGCGGCGTGGCGACCGCTTAAACCACTACGCCATCCGTGCAGTCAATCAAAAAATATTGCTTCATATAAGATGACGTGCTCCACCAACACCAAATAAACCAAACTAAATTAAATAAATAAAGTGACCTCAAGCAAGGGGAGTGTGATTAATATTATTTTAGGAAGAACAGCTCTCCTCCTCGCGTCTATTTACAATTGTTTAGTGAAGGGCATGATTAAGTGTAGGCAGGCAGTGAGGTCGAACTGCTTATAACGAGGTGGGGAGTGGGGGGGGGGGCACGTTTGCCAATTTGAGCGTGTAACATCAAAGCTACCGCATGTTACTCACACGTCGCACGTCACACGTCAGTGCGTCACAGGCACTGACCAACACCCACAAGTAAAAGATAGGACCGCTGACGTAACCTCAGCACGCTGCGGTGTAACTTGACGCGACGCCGCTCTCACATTATTATTATACAAGTACAAGGAAAAGTAAAACCGACTTCGAGGAAATTCTTAATAAGAACTATTGAAGTTCAACTGACTTCAATAACCCTTTTTAATGTATTTACAGTGATATCCTGGGCATCCAGGAATGTTGACAGAAATCTACTCGTCGCCTATCTTATAAAACGTACGAGTATATTCGTATTAAATACAAAATCATTTAGAAAAAAATGCTGAAATGAAATAACTAGTTGCATGACTCGTCACGCTTGTCGTCGTGTCGCTTCATCTATCTACTCGTACAACATTCATGCTTCATCAACGCAGAGCCTAAACGACTGGAGCTACAAACTTGACATTTTGACAGCTCATTCTTCAATGTTGTAAGCGCCCACCACAGGATTTTTGGAAACTTCACTATGAAGGGGGTAAAATAAGTGTTGAACGATTGTATGGCAGTTCACCATTTTCAAAGTTAGAAGTAAGAAATAATGACGCGAGCGAAGACGTGAGCAATGGCTAGTTCATATAATGAAATTGATGATTCCAGACGGTGTGACATGTGGGCAGTAGCGGCCAGCGAGCGGTGAGCGCTGGTGGTGCGCTAGACGGTGGCGGCGGCGCAATGAACGACCCGGAGCGGATTGCCCGCGAGGCGGTGGCGTGCGAGCTCACCAACAACGCCACCGCGCCCCCTGAGGGGCTCCACTGCGCCGGCACCTACGACTCGTGGCAGTGCTGGCCCCACGCTGCTCCCAACACCACTGTCTACCGGCCCTGCCCCGTCTTCGTGCCTGGCTTCAGTCCCGAATGTGCGTATTCTCTCACTCCCTCTCTCACTCACACATGCACATGCAGGCCGCATGCATACGTTGTGCAAGAATTCGCAAAACACTACCTGTACTTACATGACTTGTATTCTGCGGATGTTTTTAAAATATGGTGAAAATGATGAAATTAATTTTCATAAAATATGTTTTACATTTTTGTTACAAACTGCCAAATGCATGTATTATACATAGAAACTTTTCTCTTGAAGTGATCCCACTATTACTGAAAAACCGCATTACAAGGTGTGGCTTAGTTTGAAAGATCTAAGCGTACAAGACTAGGAGGTGACTTTATTGTGTAATAAAGTAATGAAAATAAAAATCTTCACACAATTATCGCAATTAAAAACTATTATTTAAAGTAATGTTCTATTTGTTGCTGATATCGAACACTTGATTTGAATCCGGTCAGGCCAAGACGCATTATACATACGAGTAATCCTTATATAGTTTATTTGATCGAAGACAAAATGACTAAATTCTAACAAATAAAATAACTACTTTTCGGGACAATTACGACCAGGTGCACTCATAACGAGGTACGGGACACCAGGGATTTCCTTTCTAGGGTACACCTGGTTCCTTGGCTACTGGTACCCGAGGCGGCTTGCGGTTTTTAGTCGGTTCGAGCCCGACAGCTAATGGCGGGTGGTATCCGAGGGGATTTCCGCACAGAAAAAAATATATTTATAACATATTAACATTTTTACTTTTATATAAAGATATCAACATACATTATTCACATTTCACATTAACTTTAGTAACATTTAACATAGTTTGGTATCGTAGGGTTTAGAAAACATTTGAGTAGTTTATATAACAATAAACATTTTATCTCATTAAATTAAATCTTTTTTAACCCTGCAATTGTACCCCAAACAAGTAAGTTACACCTTAACCTTACGATAATATGTGCAAGGCATCCATGATCGCGTTAACTTGCATAGCAAACCTAGTTATATTTGCTATGACTAATAAAAAAACTGAAGTAAAATATTTTGAAAACAACATGTTACAGTGATGGCGCACAAGGAGTGCATGGCTAACGGCTCGTGGTTCCGTCACCCTGAGACCGGCCAGCCCTGGTCCAACTACACCACCTGCATCAAGCCTGAGGATGTAGGTATCACAGCGCGTGCGCGTGTGTGTGTGGACCCTGCTTAAACTGTGCTTGTGTGTTTCAGGACATGAGCGATATAATCGCGGTGTACGAGTGCGGATACAGCATCTCCCTCGTCGCGTTATTGCTTTCGCTCTTCATCCTTCTCTACTTCAAGTAAGTAAAGGGATCACTTGGATCACCCGACAGTTCAAAATTGTAATAAAATTATATAAAACAAACATTAATAGTGTCCGTGCATGTGCCACAGGAACCTACGGTGTGCGCGCATCACGGTGCACATGAACCTGTTTGCGTCATTCGCGGCAAACAATGCGCTGTGGCTGGTGTGGTACGGGCTGGTGGTGCCTTCGCCTGACACGCTGCGCGACTCGCCGGTGTGGTGCTGCGCGCTCAACACTATCCTGCAATACGCTATGCTAACCACGTACACGTGGATGCTATGCGAGGGACTCTACCTGCACACCGTGCTGGTTAGCGCCTTCGTCTCTGAGCGTCGTTTGCTCCGTGCCCTGCTATTGTTGGGCTGGGGTCTGCCGGTCACGTCGGCCGCTATTTATGCAGGTCGCCGCGGTGCTGCCGGTGACACGATCTGCTGGTCAGACGAAGGCCAGCCGCGACCCGAGCTAATCGTTCTGGCGTGCGGCGCTCTTCTCCTCAACGTGGCGTTCTTGTGCAACATTGTGCGCGTACTGTGCACAAAGTTGCGTGCGGGAGGGTCAGTGGGGGGCGCAGGTGGCCCGCCCAGACCTTCCGCCACCGCGCTACACGCGTTACGTGCCACCTGCCTGTTAGCACCGTTGCTGGGCCTGCAGTACCTCTTGATGCTAATCCGACCCGAACCTACGGAACGCTGGTGGCTCGCGTACGAGTATGTGTCGGCTTTGACCACATCGCTCCAAGGACTCTGCGTGGCAGTACTGTACTGCTTCTGCAACGGCGAGGTGCTGGCGCAACTACGCCGGCGCTGGCGAGTTCTCACGTTCCGGCCGCGAGCCAACTCCGCCACTGCGACAACGGTATCGGTGAGTATGGGTGGACCGAGGCGAGGCTCCCGCTCCGCTCCGCGCCGCTCATCAGTGCGCGTGTTGCAGTTCGTGCGGTCGGGGGCTGGCGCACCTGAGGACAAGGTGTGACTATCGGCGGGCGGTGAGGCGCCACTGGACCCCGCCGCCCCACGTGACTCTTCCGCTCCTGCTCGCACCCGACACATCCGCTTCGAGTGCGAGAGTGACGACGATGCCCCACCCGACAAACGCTTACTGTGAGCGTCTCCCGCCGATCGCTGAACTCGAGACACTTGACGACGTGTTGTAGTATACTACCTATATTGTAAATCCTATCGCTGCATAGTTTTATTCCGGGCCTAACGGGTAATGTTTATTTGTAAGTTGAGTCACGTCTAGTGTACCTATAGACAGTGACAGAGCTAAAGTTAAGTTGTATGTTAACTGTTGTAATTAGCTATGTACATACATGTAAATATTTTTATAAAGTGAAAATATAAGGGTGTTACACTATTGTTCAATTTTTATTTCTCACTCTTTTAACTTTATTTCCTAAAATTAGGATAAGAAACAAAGAAAAATATCTACAATCTATATATTATCTATAATGTTGTAAATAAACACTGGGACTAGACTTAGTGTGTTTGCCAAAGCGTCCATTCAATTATATGTTAATGTAATGTGTAATGACACTGTCTTTCACCATATTAATGTCAATTTCAAAAAAATGTGCAATATCAATAGTAGGCGAGCGACAAGCAGTTTTCAAAGTTAACTTTCCCCCAAAATACATATATACCATAGGAGAGCTATGACTCGGCACAAATGGGCCAGCCTCGACCAGAGTGATGCCACGGCCTCACAGAAAACCGCTGTTAAGCAATAAAGTTATTTTCACCGAGTGAGTGAGGTTACGAAACTTAACTAAAAACTAAAAACTTAGCCGAAAGGGCAACCGCACGCTTGCGACTCATGAGTTGCCCTAGTACTCAGTCAGTCACTAGTAGTCACTTACCATCCGGTGAGCCGTTTGCTCGTTTGCCAATCTCTATACCATAATTAGTAACCTTTGCAATCACATAGTGTATTTGTAGCGCGCTATAAGGAGTAATCATCGAAGATGGTGCTGCTTACAGGAATTTGTGTTGTGCTTGGTTGATTGTTTATTGGCAGTTTATTACGCAATGGACTAGTGCAACTACATATTTCAGTCATTGAATCAGAATACGTAGTTCACGTCGTCGAGGGTTGATTGTAATGAGCTGATGACATATTGTACGCTACAATTGTTACGTTAAAGATTTGAGTGATATAAATAACCGCGGTGCAGGGCAAGCCCGGCAATTCGATCAGCGCGAACTATTGGCGCACGCAGTTCGATACTAAATTAAACTGTTCGATTGTCACCGTGCGCTATTTATACGTGCGCATTTCCCGCCCAGCCTAATATGGGCAAGGTGCGTTCGTGCGACGAGTGGCGAGGGTCAGCGGGGTCGAGCAATAAACACACCGTCCGTTACAAAATTATATTAACAACGTACACTTAAACGTAGCTCACTTACATGATAACGCAACAGCGTGCAGTCTCCGACAGAGAGTATAAAATAAATACATTTGTACGAACGTACATATAACAGGAAAGTTTCATAACATCGGCGGGGCGGAGTGCGACCGGTGCACTTAGAAGCATTTGCGGTGCACGATGCCGGGGCCGGACTCGTCGTACTCCTGCTTCGAAATCCACATCTGTTGGAAGGTGGACAGCGAGGCTAAGATAGAGCCACCGATCCATACAGAGTACTTTCTCTCGGGGGGTGCGATGATCTTAATTTTGATGGTGGAAGGTGCGAGAGCGGTGATCTCTTTCTGCATCCTGTCGGCAATACCGGGGTACATAGTCGTACCACCGGACAGTACCGTGTTCGCGTACAGGTCCTTGCGGATATCCACATCGCACTTCATAATCGAGTTATACACCGTCTCGTGGATACCACACGACTCCATGCCCAAGAACGAAGGCTGGAACAGGGCCTCCGGACAGCGGAAACGCTCGTTACCAATAGTGATGACTTGTCCGTCGGGCAGCTCGTACGACTTCTCCAGTGAGGTAGACGCGGCCGCCGTCTGCATCTCCTGCTCGAAGTCGAGCGCCACATAACAGAGCTTCTCTTTGATATCGCGTACGATTTCTCGCTCCGCCGTTGTTGTAAATGAGTACCCACGCTCCGTCAGGATTTTCATTAAATAGTCTGTGAGGTCGCGGCCTGCCAAGTCTAGACGCAGGATAGCATGAGGAAGAGCATAACCTTCGTAGATGGGTACGGTGTGAGAAACACCATCGCCGGAGTCCAGCACGATGCCGGTGGTACGACCAGACGCATAGAGCGACAGCACTGCCTGGATGGCAACATACATGGCGGGACAGTTAAACGTCTCGAACATTATCTGCGTCATTTTTTCTCTGTTTGCCTTGGGGTTAAGTGGCGCCTCAGTCAGCAAGATAGGATGCTCCTCAGGAGCCACGCGCAGTTCATTATAGAAGGTATGGTGCCAGATCTTCTCCATGTCGTCCCAGTTGGTGATGATGCCGTGCTCAATGGGATACTTGAGCGTGAGAATACCTCTCTTGCTCTGGGCCTCGTCGCCGACATAGGAGTCCTTTTGTCCCATGCCCACCATGACACCCTGATGGCGCGGGCGGCCCACGATGGAAGGGAATACGGCACGGGGTGCGTCATCACCCGCAAAGCCGGCCTTGCACATGCCGGAGCCGTTGTCGACTACCAGCGCGCCCGCATCGTCGTCGCACATCTTGGATCTTGTAGTCACGCACCGACACCAACTATAGCTTCGTTACACCTGTAACACCAACACCACACTCTTTACTAATAGTGTCAACACGCAACAGACAGACAGATACTCGGAGGAGGGGGGACACTCACGGCGGTGTCGCAGTGGCTGCGGCGGCGGTAGTGAGCGCTGCGCTGCGGGTGCGCGCTATATACGCGCCGCCCGGCGGCACTTGGCACCTGCACGCGCCCCTACAAGGTGCCAACGCCACCGCTCATCTAACAATACACTAGCGACTGCCATTTAAGAACATCATCCGCATCCACCGAATGCTAATTACATCGATAAGAGAAATGGTCCGGCGCGACGCCGCCTGCCAGCCGCCGATCCGAGTGCTCGGGGTGTCTATTTGCATTGGCCTGGGTGTTTGTACGTATAATCTCTCGTTATCAACAAACAAATATATCTGAGTTCTAGAACACGAGCTGTGCTTAACTTAGCACTATGCAACGCCGTGCAATGTGTTCCAGAATATTATTATTTTAGTAGATACCGTGTAGGGCTATGCCGACCTTAAACGGTGCCATTGGTTTCTTAAACATTTTGAGGTATTTAATTTAGATGCTAAAATTGTTTTAGTACCACTAAGATGGCATACAAATAGAATAGCGAGCCGAATAGGTAGCTACACCGGAGTGATTTCAGTCATACCGGTCCATTACATACACCATTTTATGATACATCACCAAAATGTTATGAAATATGTAAGAAGTTTACATATTTTATAACAATTCTAAATAAATAAATGAGCAAATGCATTACTATCGTAACAGCTGAGACATGTTGATTAAATGTTACCAAACCCAGCACAATGTGTTAACTTGCCTTGAAGGGGCCCACAACAATACTTACACGAACCAACGAATGCCCACCGCCTTCACCAGACAGTTCACCCTTACACTCTATTTTACAATCTTTCAATCTTACCTTACAATTTCACTTTCTTACAGATTAAGAGGAAGGGCTTCATTTTTTTTGCTTTATTTAATGAGCTATCTGAGATCTGGCAATGCCGCTCAATAACATAATTAAAACAAATAATTGGTCATTACTTAGAAAAGTCTGCATTCCGTGGACTCTCCCAGTTTGTTCAAGAGATTGTTCAAATGGCAACAGCGAAATATATAGCAACTGAATAAAACATTTTAATGATACATAATAAATGTAAAGCAAAGGTCGAAGAGGCCAAGGTACGAGTGTACAATGAGTGGGTCACCTGCCAGCTAGTGTCGTGTCTAATCACTGACGACACTATTAATTGATCCACAGACACTTGTAATAAACTGGGGTTAGTCTTTAATTGTTCAATAAATCTTTCAGTATGTCTCGTTTTTAATCATAATCTTATTGTCTAATCTTATTGGATAAACTTATTGTCGTCTGGGCACGACATCTCGAAAATAGATTCATTCTAATAATAATAAACATTATTTATACCGATTTTCCCTGGCCCAATATCGCGGTTTTGGCGATTCCATATACCATTACGTGTGAAGGTACTCTCGTCAGTCCACATGATGTTGGATAGAAATTCAGGGTCATTCGTTACCTTCGTACATAATCACTGACAGTGAGCCACTCTTATGGGTTCATCTCTGTTTAATAAAGCCGGTACTTAAATAAAACTCATCATAATAACAATTTTATAATAATATGATGTATTTCTCAATATGGCATAAAATTTATAAACAGCGTTACAAACACGATATTGTCAGTATTTACGATAAACTGGTACCCAGAATAAGATTAAATTTGTGTTTAGGGTACCAGCGATCTCGCGCACACTATAACATAACATATGTCGCTAATACTTGTTAGACAGCAACACAGCGTTAATCTAGAAACAAACTACAAAACTAATAGACAAACAAGAAAATTATATAATTGGAAGAATGAAAATCAAATAAATAAAATAACATCAACAACTACATTATACAACTTCATTATTATGTCACGATTGTAGCTTCTTAATAATAGGTGATATGTGTGTGTGTGTGTGACAGACAGAGAGGCTTTACAATTATAACGACACACGGGAGCCATGGCACATAACTTATTTATTTTTTTGTACAGATGATTAGAACGTAAGTATAATTACGCTGTGCGAGCTTCGTTCTGCATTGCTGTTGCGCTGAACATACATTAAAGTATCTGCGTTTGCTGATACTACTGGAATCATCATGGGGATGGTACTGGAAACAAAGAGCTGTCTCACAGTCAGAACTTGAAGCTCACTGTACAGAGCAGTGGTAAGGACCGGCAAGGATTCGAGGCCATGACTTTGAAGACAGCTGTTGTTTGTGCTCGCTCCAAAGAAAGAAGAGAAGTTTTAGGTGCACCACCCCATACGACAACGCAGTAACTAATAATAGATTGGCATAATGCAAAATAAACAGTTTTAATAGTCTCAGGACCCGCAGAGTACCTCATTAAAAAAAAACATACACTTGCGAATCCGACTTATGAGTTTATTGATATGAGGTTTCCAGTTTAAAGAACGATCTACGTTAACACAAAGATATTTAATATCCTACGACCTAGTTATTTGTGGACAGTCGCATTGTGAAGAGGATGGGCTTTAAGCGTCATAGTAACAGCGGGATTAAGATTATTGGAGCGCAATGAAAAAGTTAAGTAGACAGCTTTATCAATATTTAAGGTTAGAACATTATCTGATAGCCATTACATCACCAATCTGAGAGCATGCTCTGCGTGTTTCATAGTTTCTACCGTCAACGACCAATGCTGTATCATCTGCATAGATAAATATTGAGCAATGAGGTATGGATATATTACATAGATTATTAATATAAATTAGGAAAAGAGTTGATAAGATTGAACCTTGAGGAACGCCATAATTTAATATTACAATGTCACTAATAGTGCCATTAAACTCTGTCTGTTTGCAAAAATACTGGAAAAAATCGTGTATCATCCGTTTATCACGCAATCAAAAATTCATTGAATTGTACTCAACATGGCTTTGTAAAAAATAGATTTATAGTTTCGAATTTACTTGCCTGTTCTGACTATTTGACTGAGATTATGAGTAAGCCGTCTCAGGTCGATGTAATCTATACAGATTACAAAAAAGCCTTTGATCGCATAGACCATTCGATTCTCTTACATAAATTGCAAGCTATTGGTATAAGCGGTGATCTGTTTAGGTGGTTTAAGTCATAAATTGAAAATCGATGCCAGACAGTAGTTCTGAATGGTTACAGCTCTAGGACAGTCTTTATTCCCTCGGGAATACCTCAAGGATCACTTCTCGGCCAGCTTCTATTTACTATATTTATTAATGATATCCATACATGCTTTACTCACTCAAAAATAATACTTTACGCTGATGACATGAAGATCCTATGTCCAATATCAAATCTTAGTGACTGCCTTAACCTCCAAGAAGACTCAAATGAGCTGCAGAAATATTGCCATAACAATAAACTTGAACTTAATGTAGCTAAATGTTTCGTAAATAGTTATACCCGGAAGCCTAACCCCATTACCTTCCAATACACACTACATAGCACCATTATAAGTCGGACTAATGTCATCAGAGACCTGGGCGTCACATTTGATGCCAAGTTACTTTTTGATTCCCACGTCGAAAACATCATAAGTAGAGCCTCAAAAGCCCTCGGTTTTGTTCTAAGGCTTTCTTCGGATTTCAAAAATGTCAAAACATTTAAAATCCTTTACTGCACGTTTGTTCGCAGCCACTTAGAATTTGTGTCTCAGATCTGGAACCCGATCTATAACACATACATAGATAGAATCGAGCGCATACAGAAGCGGTTTTTGCGATATCTACAATATAAAACCCGTTATTACTCATCTAGTTACACTGCCCGATGTAAAAAGTTTCACATTCTACCCTTGTATGAGCGTAGACATATTTCAGACATAGCATACTTATCCAAAATCGCCAATGGTTCAGTGGAGTGCCCTGAGTTGTTGGGTAAGATAGGATTAGTAACACATCCCACAATTCTGCGCAATCCTAATCTTTTGTATGTTCCTTGCGTAAGGAGTACATACAGACAAAATTCATTTTTAATACTCGCGAGTCGACAGTATAATAAAATGTCATCTCAATATGAAATAGACCTATATGGTACCAGTGTTTCTAAACTTAAAAAAATGTTAGCTAAGAAATTTTTGGATTGACTACGTGTGCTGGCTTTGTCTTTGTTTACTGACTTCTAATTTAATGTTACGCGTGTATTTTCTAATCGCGGATATTTGTAAATGGCCATCAGATGCTTATGTATTATGTGTTTTTCAATAATGCTAGCTGTATTTATCCCAAACAGAGAAAAAATAAAATAAAATTAAATTAATATTTACGCACTGAGTTTCGTCATGTAGATTCAGATTAAGATTAGGATTAGGTTAGAATTTAGATTAAGATGTCTTGGAAGATTTTAAAAGTATCTCCACGGATGCCATTGGCTTATTGGCTAATTTTGCTACAGCATCGTTTACTACAGCGGCAACTGCATTCTCAGTCGATCTGCCACATCTAAAACCATACTGATTGTTACTTAGGATTTTATAATGTTCAAGAAAGTTAATTAATCTGTTATTAAGATTTTTTCCAGTTTCTTCGACATAGCAGGCAGCACTGAGATAGGCCTATAGTTATTGATGATGTGCCTGTCCCCACTCTTGAATGTAGGATGGACAATTGCCTTCTTGTAGGCTTTAGGGGAACAGCCCGTTGAAAGTAAACATTAGAAATGTCCAAAATTACCGGCACAAGGGTTTTCTAGGTTACTCGTGCTATTTAGGAATTTTTTAAATTATTTTCCCCTACACTTACAAAAAACTCGTTGACAATATTAATCGAAGATTTCTCATTATAAGACGACTTCAATAATTCGTGATTAGAGACAATATTGACAGCAGTCCCAGTATCACTCCTAATGATCTTCCATGTAGCTTTAGTGTTATTTTTA